GGGGTATTGGGGGCAGGTATGGGGGTGTTGGTGGGGTTAGGGGTATTGGGGGCAGGTATGGGGGTGTTGGTGGGGTTATTTGGGGTTCTGGAGTCTGGACCCAAACAAAACTTCTTTTTTTTTTTTTTTTTTTGGCAGGGKGCCGATGAACCCTGACCTGTAGGTGACGACCAGCCAACTGGTCGGTGGGTCGGCAGCCGACCAGTCAAGGGTCCCCGACCGTCGGCATGTGCAACACTGGGTCAAACTTTGAAGTTTAAAGTTAAGTAACTCTCTTTACACAGTAGTAAAGTAAGGGTCGCGCTCCACCACTCAGCAAATGTGCAAAATGAGAATGAATCTTGTGCTACAACATGGGAAGATACACCGCCATGTTTTCTGTCTTTTATGCATGCGGTGAGTAGTAGAGCGCGGCCCTAAGTACATTACTTCGACACTTGGAAGTACACGTTAGATATCGAGCAAGTGGACTCTACACCAATGTTTCAGACTTTCACAACATGATCCGGTCAACCCTGCGGAAACAGGGGGAAAAAAAAACAACACAAAAAACTGTGGGTGCCAGAGTCAGCCAGATTCATCAATCCAGCACGGACCAACTGAAACAGGGCGGGCCGTTGCAGGCACAAAAGAAGAACCGGTGGCTTTGGAACATAGTTGCAGGGCACCTCGGTGCGAGGGTTTGCCCACGCGCTGCGCACCGCACCGCATCGCGCAACGCATAGATGCTGTCTCTTATACACATCTAGATGTGTATAAGAGACAGCTTCTGGGCCAGGGCCCAGTACCTCACGACTGCACGCAGCAGCAGGCCACTTCGATATAGGGAAGGGCCTGCCTCCGCATTGGGCATTCGGGCACTGGCTGCTTTGTGCGCAAGCGCTGCTGCGCTATCGCCTGCCAGGCTCACGCGCTCATGGGCGAGCTGGAAGGACACATCTAGATGTGTATAAGAGACAGCTGCAGTGCTTCCCTTATTGCAGCTGAGGATATCATTGACTTCCTGGACCTCGAGTGTGTTAAGGTCCGTCAGGAACGTATCCACCTTAAAGAG